TGATTTAAGAAGTAACTTTTTGACTGACATGATGATGAAGTGGCCGTTACGTGTGTTACTGTTACGTGAAGAAAATGCTTAATTCTACTTTTCTGCAGACTGTCCCAAATTTCTTCAAAGTTGACAGGCGGAGTCAAGATAATTTTTTATACACTCTTTGTAAATGAATGTTGAGCATTTTCCTAGCTTTAGAAAGAAAAAAGAATGAAACTTCAAGAAATATAGTCAAAAGTAAACGTTACGTGTGTTACATTTTTTTTGTTTCGTGTGTTACATCTTCAAATCAGAAATTTCAGTTGGCATGTAGAGTCAAATTTTTCAGAATATTTGGTCACTTTTTGCAAAAGCAGTGTGGCTGACAAGGAAACAAGCATTGATGATACCTCAGGCTGTGGCGAAAAGGTAAATATTTTACATTAATTCAATGTTTGTGTTTCGTTGCATTTTTCATACCATAATTTTCTGTAAACAACATTGATATATCAATCAAAGTTGATTTACTTGTGCATTGGACTTCAAAGATCATCTCATTAAAGACTAAATTTTAAATATCTATTAGCGACCTCTTGTCAATACTGGTGTATTGTTCGGGAAAACAAACGAAACTATTTAACAAAAATTTCTGTAAGTGCGTCAGAACATTGGATTTACTGTACTAGACAGGTGGGTTTCAAAATCATGCCAGAACATTTAAATGCAGTCTGAAAGTAAAATTCACCTATTAAAAGAGACAGTTGGCCTTATTCCCTGTCAAATTTAACTTTCGTTTTCATGTCCTTCCTTAGCAATTCGTCCTTCCAAAAGACTAAAAAAAAGCAGCGTGCAAAGATGACACAACAGATGGCCCATCTTACACAACCAAAGACAGTAGAAGAGTGGAGAGAATAAGAAAAAACATGTTGAAACGATAGAATCTGACAGGAAGGAATATAGAAAGTATGTCCTGAAAGGTCACAAAGCATCGGCTGAAGAAGAAGGAACGTAGCGCCAACACAAGCCACACTGAAGCCAGAAAAGGATACAAGAACAAGCAGGTTTTGTCAAAGGCTGTGAATAAAGTACCCTTTTCTTTCCTTGGATCACCATCAAAGAAAATGTCAACTTTTAGTGGTGTTGTTACATCAATGCAAACATGAAGAAGACATTCATGATGGAAATGTAGATCTGCAGTCATGCCAACTGTAAATATACTTCTCACAAAATTAGATCGACACTATGAGGACCCCTGACAAAATATAGACCTAGAAGTTTCTGGAGTCAAGAAAGTGTACTGAATGATTATGGAACCTTGCAGAGAAGTTACAATGCATTCACACGACAAACAAGATGTCCAATACAATACCCTCTAGAGGGGTTTAAGAATGCAACTGATCCTTCTCGAAGTGATGACTGTGTGGTCAGTATTGGGGCTTGGGTCCTTGTGAGATGTGATGAGAAAGAAAACCGTAGAGAAGTGACAGGAAAGGGGACAAGAGGGTTATGGTGAATGCCATGTCAAATTTTACAGGAAACTGGAAGTTGCTTTGAATGAAAGATGACATTTACTGTGCACTATGATTCATAAAATGTCATAAAGGAGATCACTACAACAACACCCATTTGGTCCCTTGGTCAGTTAAAATTTCAGCTTTAAACATCAATTTGTTCCATTGTGATATGTTTCAGTGTGGTAATTTGCTTTGCTTTGCCTATTTTCTTTCAATACTTTGAAGATTTGCATGTTTTGTATGAATGTAACACGTAACTTTTGATGTAACACACGTAACGTTACGTGTGTTACACGACTTCGACCCCATTCTACAAGATTCAGGGACTTACTTCACTAGAACTGATATTACTGAGCTATTTCCTACCATCAACTTCACATGTTCACGGAAGCATTTGATTATAGTTCTTTTTTTTAATTGTGTGGAAAAACGTTTGTATGTTTTGTGTTTCGTGTGTTACATTGTCACGAGAGGTGGACATTCTGTCAATTGTGGTCAAAACATATTTACTAAATGATATTTTTGTCTTTGTCATGACATTTTTCTTTCTCATTTTCGCAATGCGTTTTTTGTATGAAAGGGACGGTTTCTACCATTTTTTAAGTTCAGAACTACACCAATAAACCTTTCTGCTGAATATTTCACCTGGTGGTGAGTTGATTTAATCAATTTTATCTTTTTGCATTTTGGTGGACCGCTCATGGAATGGGCCATTAGCATTTGTATTGCACATGTCCCCATTCGAAAGCAAGCTCTATGTATGACGTACAAGGTAACCGGCAACTGGGAACGTAGTCTCAGTGTCATGTACACGGGACACGGTAACCGGACAGTTCAGAACTCCAAGTTCAGTTTTTGTCATCCGGTGTTGCCTTCAACCCCACTCCTCCCCTTACTGTACCTTTAAAAAAAATCAATAATCCCCCCATTCTGGAGCCCTGTACTTCGCAGCGCACAGGCTTTGAATGAACTTTGGTGATCCCCAACCGGTACTCACAATGTGATATGCACGCACAGGTTCACAGACCGGTCACTATGGCGAGCCCGACAAGACGATTGTACATGACTTTCTTTTTTTTTTCCAGCAAGTGACAGCACAGGACAAAATATTGATTTATTTTCATTTTCGTTTACTGTGTACATAGATACTGAAACTAGATGCCCGGTTACCGCGTACATAGATACTGAGACTAGGTGCCCGGTTGCTGTGTACATGATACTGAGACTAGGTGCCTGGTGACCGTGTACGTAGATATTGAGACTAGGTGCCCGGTTACTGTGTACGTAGACACTCCGCTTTTACGTAAAATCCCCCGACGAGTTTTATATTATGTAACCTCCTTACACTCACATAAAACTCACTAAGAAGCTGAGTCCAAATAAATAAAACATTTTTTTCAAACCCGAACCCATATATTCGGATAGATAAAAATTGGCCTATAATCGGACTCAGTCTGAATAAATTTAATAAAGATTATATTCGGACTTGAGTCCAAATAGAGAGCTGGCCTAAAAATTTACCGAGGCCTAGAGGATATGATGACAAAAATTAAAATAAGACACTAGACTAGGCACTCCTTGGATATGGTGGTCCCTACTTTGTGACAGGGAAATAACCCGGCTGGATAAAATCTAGAATCTAGTTTTTGACCCCACGGATGATTAGTTTCTAAACAATTACTTTTTGACGCGCGTGCTGATATGAAGAGATAGCCTATCAAACCTAGATCTATATTCTAGATCTAGATCTAATTGCAAAACATCAAATTGTGGTCAAGTCCCCATGTAAGCCATATTGTTGGGTTTTTTTAGGTCAGGGCCCCCCCGTTGAAAACAAGTTAAATTTTACGCAAATTTTACTGCTCATTTTGTAGGCTAGATCTAGATCTAATCTAGATTCTAGATCTACGCTTGGCCCCTACTGATAAAACATAAAACATTGATACCGTCTATTTAAATCAGTATGTATCGAGGTCGGTATCCAGGCCTACACAAAAAAAGGCGATTGTTAAGATTCCCGCGTTTAATTCCGATGTGCGTTTTTCATACCCTCAGGCATATTTCGTTTTGGTCCCTAACCCTAACCCTGGCCCCAACCCTAACCCTAACCCTAACCTAGGGTTAGGAACCAAATGAAATATGCCTGAGGGTATGAAAAACGCACATCGGAAGGTATTTTTTTACTTTCCCTCCCGTCTCACACTCAGCTACCAGTTGTCTATTTTCTACTAAATATTGATGCGCAGAACACGAATATCAACTTCATTTCCGTCGCAAATTAATAGTTTTTGAAATATTTGATTGTTTTTAACCGAGATAGACGTGCTTTGGACCAATCGGGGGGTTCCAGGGGGGCCTGCTCCACTGGGGTAAAAGAAAATCTGGGGGGTTACAGGGGGGCATGCCCCCCTGTTTTTTACCATAATTTGATATTTTACAGTTAGATTTGAAGTTGTCTTGAAAATAATTGATTTGCGACGGTTTTAGTGGCTTTATGTGTGATCTGCAGCAAACAGTACTGCGGTTTGACCCCTGAAACAGTGCATCTGTGTGCGGGAGTGAAAGTAAAAATTTACCCATCGGAATTAAACGCGAGAATCTTAACAATCGCCAAAAAAAAAAGTCCATATATATATATCCAAGGAGTGCCCTAGCCAATATTCTAGGGCCACCTCTATTCTCACCCGGGATGAGAATAGAGCAGGCGAGTCTTTTGGCTATTCTCACCCGTTGCGCGTTCACCGTTATAGCCTAGATCTAGGCCAACAAATTTTGCGTTCACCCTAAACCACAGCACAGAATTCTACACTGTGATAACAGAAAAATTGTAGAATTCTGTGCCGTGAACAAACGTTCCATTACAACTGTAGCCTACTAAAAGCGTACAATTTTGTCTGTGGGCAGTGGAGAGAGAGAGAGAGAGGAGAGAGAGAGAGGGGAGTAGCGCGAGAACTTCCGGTCAAAACAAAATGGCGACCCGCGTAGTTCTGCTCGATTCGAAAAGTTAAATAGCCGTAGCATCTTTGTAGACAACCAAATTAATTTACTTTTGTGTTTTAACATCATTTTTTAACTTTGTTTTGGTCAATTTGAGCGTCCACACCGATAGACAGTATTCAGAAAGAGACAGAGAGAGAGAGAGGGGAGGAGTAGATCTTGCGAGAACTTCCGGGCAAAACAAAATGGCGACCCGCGTAGTTCGGCTCGATTCGAACAGTGAAATAGCCATAGCATCTTTGAAGACGATCAAATTAGCTTACTTTTGTGCTATAACGTAATTTTTTCTTGGCTTTTATCAATTTGATCATCCACACCGATAGACAGTATTCCAAAATGAGGAAAAGCAGGTCTTGTTTCGCACCGGGTGAGAATAGCCTACGCTGGCAAGCCTCACCCGGGGTGAGAGGTAGATCGTTTTTCTATTCTCACCCCGGATGAGAATAGCCACTACTTCCATATATTCTAGATCTAGATCTAGACTTAGAACAGTTGAGGAAAAGAACTGAGGCCTACCTCAATAGTCAATATTTTAGTAGCTTCTCACTAAACTTGGTTGGCGTTAAAAGCAGTCTCAAAACAAGGTGCCAATGTCGAATAGATTCTTGCACTTGTCCTGTATCAACTCCACTTCTTGTAAAGTTGTCAGTAGTCTGTAGTCGTAGAGTGGAGTTGAGTAGTCTCCACTCCCTACTAGAAGTCTACAACACAAAATCTTGACCAGACAACACTACGTAGATCTACGTCATCTAGAAATCTAGATCTAAGATCTAGACTAGATCTAGAATCTATCTTAACATTTGTTGGATCTGGATCGTAAAATAAGATTCTATGACATTCAATTTCAACAATGACAACATATTATATAGATTATCTATATATACTAGTCTAGATCTAGATTTAGATCTACTACAATACTAACTTGGTTTTCAATAATCCTATTGTTTACCCCAAAAAGGGCACTAGAATATATATATTTATTGATATACACACAAGCAAAGGCAAATAACTAATAATAACGCGCCAGTTAATACACAGTGTTTTTCTGTGTATAAAAGCGTAGAGAGGCCTAAGCAAGGCAAATACAGGAAGGAAGTAGATGTAACCGGAAGTTCACTAGACTTCATCAATTCACTAAAACTAGAACTTATGCCAGCGAGTCTTACAAAACAAACCTAAATGTTTTCCTCGGCAAACTCTTCATCTCTCCGTACAAAGAACTCATTACGATTATTTAAGATGCTTTATTTGTCCTTTGCAGGAAATTCTATCATCATCTGGACTGATAGAGTGCAAAAGCTGATTCTCACACATTCCATGTACGCGCCCGCCCCCCACCCCAAAAAAAAAGAAAAAAAAGGAAAGTAAATAAAAACCAACAATAACCAAAAATAAAACAAGCAAACAAACACACATACACACACACACACACACACACACACACACACACACACACACACACACACACACACACTTAGTTCTAGTTTAGTTTTGCAGTGCTGGATATTAGCGAGATGTTACAATAGAGTAACTAGGCCTAGATCTAGTGTTTAAAAAATTGGAAAGTGGGGCGAGACACGGACGGTGGATGATTGAAGGGACAGCGATTATGGAGCACCATACCAGAGAACCCGCCAAATCGTGACCCAAACAAATAAATGGGCTATATAAGCCTATGTTTTACAAGATTAAAAATACATGTAGGCCTGCAGTCTCAACCAAGATATAATATGCCAGTATATGTCATGACGACCTATACCCGACGCCACTGATGGAAACGATACATTACAAACATTATGTATTTTCATTCTTTTTTTTTTTTTTCTCAACACTATAACTAGATATGTCGCGTAAGTTCGCTTCAGTGCAAGAGAAACACATCAGGATTCAACACTATATATTAAATGCCGCCAATGGTGTGAGAAAACGTGACTCAGACACAGACACAATAAAGGGGACAATTTAAGAGAGGTAGGCCTATATAGGAGCTTTTTTTTTGTTGTTGTTGTTTTTTGGAAGGGTTTTACGGCGCTCGCAACTGCATAAGGTCAAATGAGCGCGCGGGACACTTTAACTTTAAAGGTTTTCAGTTTGGTAGGAACTTGAATTTTGCCCGGGTGGTGGCGGAAGCCTACTCTTATCGATTTTAGACCAACAAGAGATGATTATAGAGATCTTTAACGTGCGCAACTTACACACAGGACTTCCGAGATTTCATAGCCCTTATCCGAGAAGGCTAGATGTAGACCTTTCCTACTAGAAAATGGGTGTGGCTGAAAGACAGAAGTAAGAAGGAGCCAAGGAGTAGCAGGAAAGGCTGCAGAAATAGTCAGGAGCCCAGAGGAGGGGGAAAGGAGGTCATGAGGGGTGGGGGCAGAAAGATGAGACGAAAGCAAACGACAAAAGCATTGCTAGAGAACAGGAAAGGAGGTGAAAGGAGACAATTTTAGAGAAGAACATTTTTCCGTCGCTCCTCGGATTCGAACCCCGGACCTTTGAATGAGAGACTAACACCTCTAGGCCAGACCCTCGCCCGTGGTAGGGTGTGCCAGCCTACCAACCACCCGGCCTCGGATATTCTTTAACAACTGACTGTTTATATGTACTCGTCTTTATAGATCTACGTTGGTATTCTCTCTCGGTATAGGATAACTATATTCAGACCTATTCTCCACTGGCAAAAGTAAGCCCACAACCAATTATTTATTTCTACTGACCCCAAAACAAAATCAAATGGTTTATATTTCAAACAGGTGTATGTTCTTTTCTCCACCTGTTTTTAAAAAATATTTTGAATACAATTTAACCCTTAAAGTTTTTAAATTAGAGATTCGTGGTTTAGTCCTCAAAATGCCTCATCTTTCGACAGGATGCAACGCCCCCAAGTGTCATCAGTGTCATCCGAAAATGTGAACACACACACACACACACACACACACACACACACACACACACACACACACACGCGCGCGCGCGCGCGCGCGCGCGCACACACACACACACACACGTGCACACACACTCACATACACACACACACACACACACACACACACACACACACACACACACGTCTCCATATATCTACATGTATTTCCCCTTGCAACAAACATTTGCTCAGCTTTGATGCGAATTGTGGGTTGGTCAGCCCGTTATTTGAGCATTCTTGACAAAAATCATTCGTTCTTTCCTTAAATTTTGTTTGTTCTGAAATATGGTTATTTTGGGGGGATATTAATTAGGCTCTCCAGTCAAATATTTGGCTCGGCCCTCCCGGAGATGGACGTTGAATTCAAAGTCTCGTTTATATAACCTTACTAGTGGTTAGCATCAAAAAGGCGTTAAACGTAGGCATTACAAACTTACCAATTCTTCTGACACGCACGTGGCTATGGCACACAAGAGCCTCGTGATTTAAGTTTATGTCTCTCCAGATTATGCAGACCCACGATAAACATATAGCCCCCTCTGCAGGTTTTCTTTGTAAACATGTTGGGTTCTTTGCCAAAGAATAATATTATGGAACTTGTATTTTGGGAATTATATAGGCCTATCTATTTGCATTTCCACGTTTCCCCCCGCAAGTCTTTGGGAAGATCATTAATTTCTTTCTTTCTTTCTTTCTTTCTTTCTTTCTTTCTTTCTTTCTTTCTTTCTTTCTTTCTTTCTTTCTTAATTCCCTCTAGTTCTTTCAAATCACGTATGGTAAAGACAGACATGAAATTAAAGTGCTTTTATATCTGTTGGGATTTCACATACACATGTAAACGATGTATTACATATGTAATAGAGGCCCTCCCCTCTGCCTTGCCTTGATCCCCCCCCCCCCTCCTTTGCCAGTTAAGGCACAACTTGTACATTTTCTTTTTGACAGTCTCCGGTTCTGATAAATTTGATGAGCAATAATTTTATACAAGCCTCCCTGTTGGTCTACTGATCTCTGGCCACTATTTCACAAAACTGGTTGAACAGATTTTGTACATATAGCCTCCCAGTTGCTGCACCCAACATGTCCCTTGAACGGCTCAAAGCTTTTATGAGTGCAACATACCCAGAGGTTTTGCTTTTATTGTGTATATCCTTTAGCAAATGCACATTATGAGCTAGGTGGTTTTGGCCCCAAGAGTAATTATAAATATCAACGCTAACTTTATATGGGTTAAGAATATGGTTAGGCTCAGGATTAGGGGTAGAGGAAGGGGCAGTCGATAGGATTGCATGATTGTAAATTGTAGAATACATGGTAGTAATATTATAATAATATAGCAATCGTTGAGGCTAAAACTGGACTAACCCCACGTGTTCGCTTCCTTGTGCTGTAAGTGATTTTCAATACATGTATTTCATTTTCATTTCCTTTTCTGGTTCATATCTTTTCCATTTCGAGTGAGCTTTCTCAGTTTCTGCGAAACAAATGACGTGGGGTATTCAGTTTTTCAGCTTCGAAGGCTACAAATTAACCCTATCCGTAGGCCTAGATCTACGTTGTGCTTTACTATCGTATCCATACGACTGGGGGAACTCTGTGCCACCACTTTCCAAAGAAGAAATTTACTCGTTAATCCGATCCGTAGGGGGCCTACGCTTTGCATAGCAGTCTGTTAAAATGATTTTTTTGAGAAATAATGAAAGTTGTAAAGAGATCGTCGTACTAGAAGTATTCTAAAATGTGAAGAATACAACTCTGGGTGTACAAAATGACGCCAGGGCGTACGGATAGGGTTAAGGACCTGTCAGTGGCAGCTCTCAGCAGTCTCTGGTACGATACCAATTATGCCATTATGCTGCACGCTAGTGGTGGGCGGATTTGCTACTTGGTTTTGGGATTTGCTGGTACTTAGTGTGAGTGAGACTACCCAAAACCTGGAACCCCAAATCCCAAATCTTTGAAAAGTACGAAACAAAACAAAGTTTTGAAATATATGCTGGCTTAATTTCTAAACTGAAATATCTCAAAATAATATTCAAA